ATGTGACCAAACACCAAATTACAGTGGACACAGGTGTTCTTGACCCGCCCTGTTCTTTTCTGGCCATTTCAGAAATCACGCTAGTTTGAAATTACACAGGGTGGAACTTTATGCAGCCGATAACACTGTTGGAACAATGAGCTGGTTTATAGGTCAGAAGAATGGACATTCAGAAACTCTGAAATGTCATTTTATAAAGATATTCAAAAAAGGAAATTCAATGACCAAGCATCTGAGATAAGAGCATCTTTTTTAAAAAACACAAAGGGTGTGTGTGACCGTTCCTCTCCTGAGTCCTGCAAACTCACTTTCTCAAGCAAAAACAAACAATGGCAAATGAAGAAAGAACCACAGAAATTATGTCTGATTTACAAATGCCCCACATTTTATCACAGCAGTTCTGAACACTTCCAAGTCGGTAAATCTTGGTTCAGTAACTAATTTTCCATTTCCTGTTGTAGGCTATGGCAACTCTCCATTTTGTGCTTCATTCTAAGGTTACATTCACAGAAGACTCATGTTCAGCAGTTTCAACACAAGCAGAAAGTGAATCGGGAATACTGGGTTTGGGTGCTCTTAAGTCAACTCTAAGACAATGTGTCTCTGAGGTTCTTAACAGGAATGCTTCGGTGGCCTGGGATGGGCCAGAAGAGCCTGGCACAGCAGGTCAGGGGGAGCCGCATGTCCAAGGTGGACAGGTACCCTAGCCAGGTGGCCTCTGACTCATCCTCCTCCACAGTACCACCTTCCTCCACAAGGAGGTTTACACTCAGTTAAAAATAAGCAGTCAGTGTTATTGCCAATGACACAATGCTAAACACCAACAGAACCTGACTTTGAAAGAACAGCGTAAGTGGGAAAGCACCTTTTCCAAAATCACCCAGTCCTGTACTTCAAGGGTTTTATATATTAGACAAATACACCAGTTATTAAAGAGCCATCTAGTTTCCACAGAGCTGTTACCCAGTCATCTTGTCTTACTCCGGTGAATGGGATATTTCACCAGGATGCTTTAAGTCGGGGGCGCTTGCCAAAACGATCCGAAGTTGTGAAAATCATTTTCACTTGCTCTAAGAAAGAAAACTTTTGCAAAACATTCTGTGCCATTAAATCCATAAAAAATGTCAAGATTGAGGCTCTAAGGCCATGACCATCTTGACAACCAACTTCATGTTAAAAGGTGAGTCAGTAGAGGAAACAAACAGGTGATCAAATACTAGGAAGTACTTTTCCAGGAAAAAGTACAATAGACTCAGGAGGAAGTTGGAGGCAAAGAAAGGAAACAGGAGGGAAATAACTTTTCATTCCGAATTTGGAAAAACTATCCTTCCTGAAGATGCAGTGGAGGAGACAAAGACTTGGAGAAGGTATTGCGCTCATTTCAGAACAATCTCCCCTCCCCCCCCCATCCTGTGATCTCTTTCTGAGTTTCGGAGCAATTCTCAGGCTACAAAGTCCTCCTGGAACTCACTGGGTTCCTGGTATGGTCAGCTTTGTGGTGAGTCATATGCTTCGACTGTCTTAAGGCAAATTACCAAACCCCAGGAAAGAAAATAGAAGAAACCCCAAACTGGATTTGTAGCTTCTTTTCCAGGGACTTGGGAGCTAAGCACCTGATGCACGCGGGAATCCCTGATCCAAAACTGTGTCGGTAGTCTCCCTCTCTCCCACCATGCAAACGGACACACAGAAAACATTTACACTAACAGATAATTAAACGTTTTGCAAATATCAATCTAAATTTAATTTCCCCAAAGCCAAAATCGCCTTGTAACACTCCTACTGGTTTAAAAAAAAAATCTAAATTGACAGCATCTATCTACGTCCAAATCTGGTGAGTTTGCAGAGCGAGGCAAAGGGGTACAAATGTCTTTTATGGGAAATAAGCCTGAGGGGTTTTGGGAGCCCGAGCGCAACAGCCGCGAGAGGCCAAGCGAGCGGGCTCCTCTGCGTCTCCGCCAGGACTCGCACCAAACCTGGCGGCCAAAGCGCAGCGCGCGCCCGGCTACTTCCAAGCGCAGGCGCCGCGAGCCGCGAGGCGCTTACCTGAGCCTTGGTCCTGCGTACGCGCCTCCTGCGCTCTGCTGGGCAGCGTCTGTGGACACCAGGTGGGCTCGGCAACCGCCAGGCCCGCGGCCTCCGCTGCGCTGGCCTCTCGCACACTCCTCCCGAGTGGCGGGGGGGGGGG